TTTTCTTGCTGAGCTTTGCTGCTGGCTTGCTATGTTTTTTTTTAACCATTTAACACAAAACTAGCATATTAGTAAAATGTAATGGAGATTATATATCAAGCATTCGGCAGCTGTTGGAAACATCTTATATAATATATCTATTAAGAAATTATACCACAAAGAATGTTGTAAGTACATGCATACATTTTTTAAATTCAAACTACATAACTCTGGGATTATAATCAAAGTAACATATGGATTTAAATGTTATTGTAACAGAACAATTCATTAATAGCAACATTTCATATATAAAAAAAACAAGTTAGTCAGTTCATATTTTGTATGGCAAAAGGCTCTGTATGGTGTATTAATAGTAGAAAAAAATGGAAATAACAAATAGATGTAAAGTGTATGTATGTGTAGGGAAGGGTTAAAACAGTTGAACAGTTGAAACAGTTAAAACTGTCAGTTTATTTTTGCTGTATGTGTGCCGTTGGGGATATTTCCCTTAACTTCCTGTCCTGTAACTGCAACATTGGTCATTGGGAAACATAGAGTAGGGGAATCTTTCCAACGAAAACAGATGGCAATAAAAGTTCTATCCAAACCTACAACAAAAATGTTGACTAAACATGCACTTTAACAGACTGGACAGTGAAAAATGGCAGACAACGTTTTGGAGAAACTCTTGTCCATTATAAATGTGTTATTGACAAGCTGATGGCAACCAAGCCCAAAAGAATGTTTCATCACGCCACTTCTGTTCCACCTTTCCAACAGTAGCCATCAACCATAGCATGGAGGGAAAGAGTAACATGCTGCTACTCCATTTCTCCTGTGATGGACTATAATCTCACATTTCATTAGCTCATTTATATTGAGATTGTAGTTTATCATGGGAATGAGCTTGGAGCAGTGGCTACTTTACAACACACACTGGGACCATGGAGAACAAAAGTAGCCACCATCCAGAAGGTAGGACAGTGTCAGTATGAATTTAGAAATGTATACAGCCACATAATACACAAATAGGATACATTTTTGTTAATAGTTAGGGTACTTGAATGCATTTTTATGATATAACTCCTCAATTTAGTGGCACTTTAAAGCAGTGCTGGAGATTTTTTAATTTAAGCACACTAGTACTGCAGGGAAGGATCATCTTGAAGTGCGTTAGGCAGCAGGTAATTGACAATGGGACTAAATAACTGGATGATGTGATCGACGTTGGATTCACATTAGGTGGATATTGTCATAACTTTCCCAACTTTCTGAGATGAGAAAGAGGGAAATCTTGTGTGCAGGCAAAGGACACACCCCTAGTGCACCACCACAATGAATTAACGCACAGAAAATGATTGGTTAAACCGATGAATGCTTTTTTTTTAATTTCTTCCTTTATACTGTTTTTAAAAAAACAATAAATGCAACAATTTACAGTTTAGATGAAGTTTAGCACAGTAACACACTTATGATAGTTAAATAGAGCTTTTTTTTCAAAAGAAGAAAGATGGACAGAGGGATTTGGTTCCAAACTAGGGACAGTTGGTAGCTATGCATAATGTATTTTTTTCTTTTTTGTAGCTAAAAGACTATTTTTTGGTGCGGGTGTCTTTATTTGCTTTTAACTCTTTGTGGGAATTGGTTAGGGGGTATTAATGTACTCCTTGCTCATTCCCTGGGATCATATGTGAGGAAGAGGCCCTTGTCCTTCAACATTAAAACAATGTGCCTTTGCAATTTTACGGGGAGCCCCATAGCATTTTTGTAATGTGTACTGTCAAATAAAAAATACAAAAAAACACTAAGTGCATCGTCATGTCATTTGCTCCTTCTTTCCACCTCATCTAATCAGAGAATGCCTTATATTCATTGAAAAAATAAAAAAACGCTCTCTGAATGGTGGTGGTTCTAAGCGAGTGACTCCTTGTGCTCAGTGTGCACAGGGGAAGGTTTGGAGCCGCACCCAGAGGATCACAGCTATCATTGTACTGTATGTAGCACAGACTACTACAGTAATTTTCCGCATTCCCCAGAGGACCTCTGGATATCAGATATGGATACTTACATCAAGGTTAGCTGAACCAATGTACAGTAATTTTCCATATAAGATAATATCTTGCATTCCACTTTAAGGTATACCTGTCACAGGAGAACTATGTAGGCTGCCATTACTGACCTATCCTTCTGAGAATGTTATTTCCCTGGCTGTCATGCTAATCCCATGTCTTCTAAGCCTTCTATACCATGGCTTCTATACCAGCAACACGTATAGAGGGAAGGTACATTTTCTGGCATTCATTTATTTCAGATTGATTTAAAAATTATTAAAGCCACACACAGCCAGGCAACTACCATTTTGAAAAGAAGATCAGCAATGCCAGCCCCTTAATGTTTCTCAAGACAGGTGTAGTTTAAGGTTATGAAATTAGGGCACGTATGTCAGTTGGAACATCGCCATTCTATTTCCCAATTCAGTGTTAGTATTCTGCATTGTGTTTCATTCTTTATTTTGCATTATACCACATACAGTAGATGTAATAAAATGAAGAGCATACCATAGCTGTCAACTTTAAGGATATTAGAACAACAATGTCCCTTGTTATCCTGGATGAGCAGTTGCGCATATATAAGTTTGTGCACTCCTAGTTATTATACCTACTGTATTTGAAAAGTAGTCAGGAGCAAGTGCAGGATTTTGGCAAATGGAATTTCAGTTTTGCTGTTGAACAAAATGTTCATGTTTTTATGTAAATATAATTTTTTTTCTAGTTTGTACAATGAATTATGTAAACTCCTGCATATGAAGAGTCCTTTAGCCCTTCACATTTCATTGCCATTATCACAGGCCCCCATTTCCAGTATTCTTGTTACACTTTATTTTCACTCTACATGTGCCAACCACTTTGTGTAGTGAATTCTGGGGTGTCAGCCCATAAGCAGTGGTGACACATTTGGGTAATACTGGCTACACACATGGCACTAATTCTGCATTCTATAATACATAGAGCTGGATATGTCTGCAGGGTTCAGACAGTCCACCTTTATTACTGTAATACTTGGCCAGCATGAGGTATGAGGAATATACGTAGGCTGCAGAACATACATACTCTTAATTTAAAATATATTGTTCCATTACATTTATTTAGTGTATAAACAAATCTGGCTCACACATTTTGTAAATGTGGATGTTTATTCCTTGCAAAAAGTGAGTTTCTTCAAAATTTTAAAACTGTACCTCAGCAAATGGAGGATTTGGAGAACCTACCCAAAGTAATATTGTGAGCTGGGTTGTAAATCATTCTGTGGCTGTTTTATAATTTAATTCAAATTACTGTATTAGTCAAGGTAAAGCACATACATTTCATTTCTCCAGGAGATATAACCCTTTAATTTGTATCACCTTTGGAGTCCCATGATCTGTACGAAAGGACTCGAACTTCCTTGGCCTTATTCGATGAACATTACAAAGAGAAAAGTACAGTAAACTATAGAAACAAATTAAAATTCACCTGACTGAAGTTGCAGCAGTAGACAGTAGATTCCTGTTGGTTGATATGACTACTGCAATTTACACCTAACATTTTGCTCAATGCATGCTTTATTAAATAAGCCTTCTTGTTATTTTATATGGTCTTTTGTTGGCTCTTCTTTTTTCATGCAGCAAAGATCATTGTCTAGGTTTTTGTTTTTTTTTGTCATGTGTGCAGTTCTAGAGGAAATCTGGACAGCAAAAACATTGTTTTGAAGTTTTGGCTGTGGTGATGACTGTTTGGGTTTTTATTGTCGTCTGCATCTCGATTAGGGGGCTTTACCCCAGACACCCCGTTCTCTCCTAAAACCTACATCTCTATAGCCAAAATGTAAAACCAAATGTTTATTACTGTAGCCATAATGTAAAAAAGACCATGCTTTGGTTTTCCAGTCTTCTGGACAAGACACAACCAAGATGTTTGGTCACATAATCTCTTCTGCTGGAGAAATCCCACAGTTGATAGGTGTTGGACATGCAGGAGGTGGGAACACATCCCCCAATAGGACACCTAATGACAGCTGTCAAAGGTGGGATTTCCTCCTGCTTCCTGTTGTATCACTAGGAAGTAAAGTGCGGGCAAATCTTCCCAAGAAGATTGGAGTGACTGAATTAAGAGTAGGGTGGCCACACGGATTTACAAATCTTTATTTATTTCAGCTTTGTATTTTCCTTGCTTGTTAAAAATTTTAATTTAAAGTGATATTAAAGTTAAAAAGTTTTTAAGCTATTTCAATTGCTGATGAAATCACTTACAATGAATGCTGCTTCTTGATGTTTAAAGGTTTTGGTTTCCTGCAGAATCAGCTGGTCCCCTGAGCACTGGCCCTGATACCCTGTTTTAGGCCTCATTCACAAAGGACTGACTTTGTGCATTGTGCACGCCCATATCGGGCTGTTCCCGGGAGGGACAGGTGCTGCATGTAGCAGCCTGTTTTTCCCTATGGGAGCACGCAGCCTTATGCTGTCATACGCACACCCGAACTGCACATTCTTGGACGCAGACAGGTTGGATCGCCTCGAGTTAGCCCTGTGTAAATAAGGCCTTAGAGTGATTCCTTTCTCAAGCAGAGTGCTATGCAGTCACCCTTGTGTGTGCTAGTAAGCTTTGTTTGTCTCCACAAACACAGCAAGTCAGACTACTTCCCTCCCCCCTGGCCCCCTCTCCTCCCTTCTCCAAGCTAGTAGATGAACATTCGCTGCGGTCTGCTCTGTCCTTTGTGAGCTTGAAGTGGACAGGAAGTTCATGGAAGCTGAGCTGAGAGAATTGAAAGCAGCTGTTCAGAAACATGATGACTGTAAGTGCTTGGGCAAAAAGGTAAAGGAATATTTTGCTGGGCAATGTATGTTTGTTTGATCTGAATTCATTATCGAAAAAAAGTTTGAGTGTTTAATAATATTTTAAGTATTTGTATCTGTTTTTATGTATCTAAGTATCTGTTTTTAATTTGTTCACACTTTAATGGTTATTTCATCCTTTTTAATACAGATACGATGGGAGAAAAATATCACTTTAGGCGAGCCTCCTGGGTTTTTACACTCTTGGTGGTGGTAAGCTTACATTTTTACATTTCAGTCAATAAATAATATGTTTTGCATACAGAAATGAAAGTGAAACTTTTATGTGTTTGCATTTGAAAGTTATTTTATGTTGTTACTATTGCTATATACCTAAAAGTACAATTAGAAGGTATTTGTATTTTATTATAATCCTACTTCCCTTAAACATTTGTATACATGCACAGACTGTGTATTATTATAACGGGTTTTTATAACTTGAGCTGAAAAATGTAACATTTTACTTAAATACATTTTAAGGTTTAATGGTGTGAAACATATTTATGCAGCGAATAAAGTAAAGGAAGAATTTGGAACACCAATCTCAGTTTTGCAAGGGGCATTTAGTTCTGCTTTACATGAACAGTCTAAACACTTACACTGAAATAGAGGAATAAAGACAATTAGTTGACTGTGCTACTAAATGCTGCATGGATATATTGTTATTGAATATGCGTAGGTTAAAAAAAATACATAAAAAGCAGATGGTTACATTCCTTAAAAAATATCTGGAAGATTTGTCAGTTTTGTGCAATGGCTTTATTTTGCATGTACTTTATACCGTGTTTCCCCGGAAAAAACGTCCGTGTCTTATATTTTTTTTGGCTCAAAAAAACACACCAGGTCTTATTTTCGGGGTAGGTCTTTTTTTCTTTTTTTTTTTTTTTAATGTATAACAACCCAAGGTTAATGCAAATCCAAATTAAATATTCCAAAATGGCAAAGTTAAGAATATGGTGATCAGGGGTGCCGTACATTTCCAAGAGCAATTTGGTAACCAGAATGAGCGAAGCGCACTTTCACTATCGATTCCTCACAGGCAGAGTGTATTTGGTATCACTCCGCCTGTGACAGGAGACGGCGCTATAACGGGTTATGCGGCTCTGCTCCCTCCACTGCCACCTCGCTTTCTCTAGCGCTGGCTTAGTTGGCACAGTGATTTTCTCCCGCCTCTCCAAGTTCCCCCTTATGCCACCACCGGCCCTGGGAATGGTCACAACTAGGTCTTATTTTTGGGGTAGGTCATATATTTTAGCAATTCGCAAAAATAGTACTAGGTCTTATTTGCGGGGTAGGTCTTATTTTTGGGGAAACAGGGTATTAATGCATAAAAAAGTGTCCATGCCACTTCCATCTTGATGAGGACAAGGGCCTCTTACCCACCACCCTGGCCCAGTGGTTGTGGGAGTCTGCGGGCAGGGGGGCAGGCCACTAGTAATACCTGTTTGCTCCCTGCAGATGATTCTTTCTGCATTTCTGACTTATCGTTCTCTGTTTTGCAATGTGTCTGTTTGAAGTTAGCCATCTTAGTAGGCAGAGCTTTGCTTTCAAATGCCAGAGCTGCCTTTGTTAGAGGTCCTCAGACACAGCTTCCTCTTTAGCAAGGAAATAGTGAACAGTGCAGTAGCGTCTTCATTAAATCTCACTTAAAGTATGCTAAGACTAGCAGTCAGAGGCAGCAGTGCCTTAGATCTCGCACTGAAAAAATGCAGCTATGAGGTTGCAGGAGTGCCTAGACACCCTCACATAACTCTGCTATTTACAAGAGGGATTTAGGGCAAAAGATAAATCATTCAGGGTGGCACATATGCACATTTAAAATTTCTAGATGTTCACTATAACATAGCAAATCTTCACTTTTTAAATTCAGGTCAACTTTAATTTTTGCTAACAATAAATTATAAAATGGCTTTGTGTTTTTACATATATTTTTGGCAAATTCAGCTGCAGACCTGCTATGTTCATCCACATGTCACTAACTATAGAGGAATCTCCCTCGAGCCTCAAATTCTGTTTGAGGTTTGCTGTTCGAGGTTTGGCAAAAGGGCAAACTAAATGGCCAGCTTTGGCCTGTTTGCCTGCCTGAACCGCTGACTGCTTTTGCAGTTAGAAGTGATTTATACCAGACCCTTATCCTAGATAGTGATCTGGTATGGATTTTGAAAAGAGAACCCTTTTGAGAAAACCCCAAAAAGGTGGGGTGCCCAACAAAATCCATACCAGACCCTTATTTTTGATAAGAGTCTGGTGTGGATTTAGAGGGGACCCCAGGCCAGAAAATCAAAATCTATACCAGTCCCTTACCAAGATTTGCAGCCTGGCTGGCCAGGAGAGGGAGAGGCAGTGTGTGGCCCTCTCTCAGCTGGATCATACCAGGCCTCATGCCCTGGAAAGGCACTATTTTTAATTGTTGATGGGAATAAGAGCCTCATCCCCATATCCAATGCAAGAGAATGTGGGGGGCTGGGGACTTACTGGTATCTGGAAGCCCCCTCATTTAAAGGAGAACTATGAGGTGAGTGCTTTTCACTCACCTCATAGTTCTAGCCGACCTGTGACAATGAGACTGTCACAGGTCGGCTCAGTAGATCGGGAGGTAAGCGAACACATATCGGGTTCGCTCGCCTCTCGATCCTGTCACGGCTCTCTGCCGTGACAGGGGGAGGGGCTGGATTCCCCTCTCCCCGACACATGGCTTCCAATACCATGTCTATGCAGATGACATTCAAATAAGTATTTCTACTCCACAACTCACCCCCTCAGTGTCACTAATCTACTAACTGACATATCAGTCTGGATGTCTCAACACTTCTTAAAACTCAATCTCTCGAAAACGTAGCGCATTTTATTATTCCTCCTGCTCGTGCACCCTCCCCCAACTTTTCCCTCGAGATTGATAACACAACCATCCATCCATCCCCTCCCTCCAAGGTGCTAGGTGTCATCCTTGACTCTGACCTCACCTTTCTTCCCCACATCCAATCACTATCCAAATCCTGTTGCCTTCACCTTCGTAACATCTCCAAAATAAGCCCCTTCCTAACCAAGGAAACCGCAAAACTACTCATCCACTCCCTTGTTATCTCTCGTCTTGACTATTGAAACTCCCTCCTCATTGGCCTACCACTACACAGGCTACCCCCCCACCCCCTTCAGTCTATCTGCTCAGTGTCTGCAACCCCCCTCTGCCAATCCCTGCACTAGCTTCCAATAGCCCAAAGGATAAAATTCAAAATATTACAAATCACTTATAAAGCCATCCACAACTCTGCCCCCGGATATATCTCAAACCTTGTCTCGAAGTATCACCCTAACCGTCCCCTGCGCTCCTTCCAAGACCTCCTGCTTTCCGGCTTCCTTGTCAACTCCTCCCATGCTCGCCTCCAGGACTTCTCTGGAGTTTCTCCCATCCTCTGGAACTCTTTACCCCAACCTGTCTGTCTAAATCCCACCCTGACTGCCTTTAGGCGATCCCTAACGACTCATCTCCTCAGGGAAACCTATCCCACCTCAACCTAACCACTCAATCATAACATTCTGAAACAATTCATCCCACACAGCTACCTCCTCATGTATCACTTGCCCTTCCCTTTTAGATTGTAAGCCCTCATGGGCAGGGCCCTCCTTACCATCGTGTTTTGAATTGTATTGTAAACCTGTATAATAATAATAGTAATAATAATAATAAGACAAAGAGACGTTTTGGTTTACTACTGGAAAGTTAAAAAAAAAAATCCCATGATTTATATGATTTGGAATACATCATCAAATAGCTATTTTCCTACTACAGCTTTTAAATTTGCTTTGTTTCTGTATATTCATCATTCAATCGCAACTAATGCCATTAAGGTATAAAAAGTAGATAGCTACTCCAGGATTTTGCTTTACTGGTATGAGGCAATACCTAGACTTAGGGTGATTACAGTGAGGTGCAGAAGATGCTGAGGCCCCTGATGTCATGCAGTGTACTATATATTTTTTTCTCAGATTCACTGTTTTTGATTGCATATTTGACTGCTAAACACACAAAGGTGCTCCTGAAGATTTTTATTCTCCCGCTGTTTTGGAGAACAGCTTGGCTGCCTCAGTTAAATACCCTAACATGTTCCTTTTTACAGCTCATATACAGTAGTTCTGTTGAGGTGAAACTGTACAACCTTTCAGATGGGCTATGATTAAGAGGGCACAGCCCTGCAGAATGTTTTACATTGTGTAGCTCTAGTGAGTATAAAGTCTACAAAGCCATCTCATTTACTACAATTTTCTTTGTTTATATACTCTATACTCTATTGTATATATACTGTAAGATATGTTGTTGAATTGGGCAGTAAAAAAGTAATATTAAATATAGGTAAAGTTCTTCTTGGAGAACTCAACATAGTTTTACTGCATAGTTTAAAAGGCTAAATTCACAGACCTAACACACCAGTATATGGATCTTTATATTCTTTACGTTCCATTAGATTTGACAATTACAGCCACATGGCTAAAATAAAGATCCTTGTTCTTGTGTTTGTGAATTTATCCTTCTGATTCTTTTATTTGCTTTCAGACTGGCACAATGATGTTGAGATCAGACTTTGTTTTTAGATGGCTGCACATGGCTGAACTCAGAGCTTCTCATCAGCTGAAGGCTTACAGGTGCCACATTCTCTTTGAAAATATTCATATCCGAATTTGGTTTGCCCATAATGAGCAAACCAACAGATTTACGTTAATGCAGAACTTCACAGGCACATCTACTTACCTTTCCTTCCCTTGCCATTCTTCTGCTAGGAGTAAAAGCAAACGACTGTGTGAGAGTAACGAATTGGCATATTTCCATGCCCATTCATACCCAAAAGAGGCAAGTATTACCATTGCCGCCATACAGTGAAGGGAGCAGTGGCGAGCATAAGGAAAGCTAAATATAGACTGCTAAGAGTAAGGAGGTTAAATCAAATGCGTTACTTTGCCCTAAATGAGCAAAGTAAAGGTTTGCTTTAAATCCCAGCTCCAGACAATTTTATTTTTAGATTGAGCAGTTAATAAAGCAATTAAAGAGAATCATTTAGAATACAAGTTGTATTCCAAATATGTTATATGTACTTATATAGCACTGCTTTGCCTTTTGAGTCTAAATTCTGCCTAACATGCTTAGGTACACCAGTTTAGAACTAGATCACAGTTTGAAAACATACCCACAGTCTTATTAAGGAACCACCCATGAATTA